AGCACCAATTAAGAGCTGAGACTTAGGGGAAAAAATCAACCTGAGAGAAGAATCTTGTCTACCCCAGAAACCTTGGAGGAGTATCCAAGAAACAGTGGTCAATGGAATAGAAGTTCACAGATAGGTTAAGCAGGGTGAGGACTGATTACAAAGATCCTAGATTTGACAAGAGAGCGTGTCTCTGGTCACTTTCCCCAGAATATCCTAAGAAAATAGGAGGTAGAGAGAGAGAGAGAGTAGAATGACTGGGAAGTGAGGAAATGGAGACTGAAAGCATTTTGTAAGTCTGGATGTGAGGGAAAGGAGTATGAGGGTAGGAGAAGAGGTTTTTTCTCTTTCTTTTTAAGCTAAAGAATACATTCACCATGTTTATACAAAAAAAAAAAAGAAAGAAAAGAAAAAGGGCACAAAATGCTGATACAGAAACAAGATGGGAGAGAAAGGAGGGGAAGGATCCAGTGAATAAGTAGAGTTTAGAAAGGCATAATGTCACCTTTTCCTCAGAAACGAAGAGTGCTGTGTTATAAGAAAAGGTGAAAGTGTAAACACATTTAGAGATAGAGGAGAAGCAGGTTGCCAATTTTTTTTAATTATAAACTATATTCTATGATCAGTAAATAGCACCTGAAAAACAAAAAAATCCATTGGAAATACTCTTGACACAGATGTAGCAGTAACTTAATTTGGCTTACACAGAAAAAAGTTGCAAATCAATTGCTTATTTAATTAAAAAATATCCATTTAGATTTTCTAACAGTGTTTAAGTTGATCAATGCGAATTAATACAAAATTATAGGATTCTCTATTTTAGAAAAAACGCACCACCTATCAACCGCTATCTGGAAATACCTTGGGTTCCTATTTTGAACAAGTAAGAAATTATGCCTTCAGGTTTTTCTTTCTCCTTGGTAAGTGCTACCAAAGTATGTTATGTGCTTATGATTTTTGAAATTATGTAACAGAAATGTTTCATTTTGAAATAATTTCTGACATATTAATGGTACTTAGTTAGGTATCTTCAATCTTTTTCATTTGCTTCCTAAATATCCTGACCTCAAGTCTTATTTTGATCTCCTTCCCATTCCCAGTATCATTCAATTCAGGATTTTTATTTATATAACCTTCACTCATTCCCTATTTTGATCAAGTTGACTAGTTTAATTGTTCCAGTAAATTGATGGTTTGGTTGGACGCTATAGAAGTGAAATGACATGTTTCTAGCTAGGAATATGCTCAACATTTATGTTAGGTTCTAGTTTAAAGTAAACTAGGTCTTTAATAAGCTAGTTACTCAGGATCACGACAATCCCACAACAACTAAGATTTTACCCAAATTCTACCATCATTTTGCTACTGGGATTACTTTGCTTTCAAATAATTTGGATTACCATTATTAATCCTTGATTTGAATGTACAGTAATACTTTCGTTTGTGAGCGTAATTCGTTCTGGAAACAAACTACTCGTATTGCAAGACATCGCTCATTTACCACGTTAAAATGTACTTGGTTTGTGAGCATAATTTGTTCCAGAAGCAAACTACTCGTATTACAGGACATTGCTCATTTACCACGTTAAAATGTATTAGAAATGTTTGCTCGCCTTGCGGAACACTCACAAACCACGCTACTCGCAATCCAAGGTTTTACTGTACATGATTCTGATATAAACCCAACGTTACATTAAACAACTATAAAAATCATAAACATCTAACAATTAAAGCTATTCTTTTTCAAAGAAAAAAAGTATCAGTAGTACTTTGAATGTTCAGTAAATAGTTAGTGCTTAATATGAGACACACTTTTCTACAAATTGGGGATTCAATGAACGAAACACAAGTATTTCTGCCCTCATGGAGCTTATATTCCAGTATAGGAAAACAAATAGTAAACAAAGGAATGCTTAGATAAGTACTATGGACAAATATAAAGAAGGGGGGACATGGAGTGCTTGCAATATTATATAGTCAAGGAAGGTGTTGATCGGGTAACAGCTGAGTGAGACTGAAGGATGTAAGGAGTGAGCTATGCTTAGAGAAACACATTCCAGGCAGAGAGAACACCAAGTACAAAGGCTCTTAGGCAGAAGTGTACTTGGTGTTTTTGAAGAGGAGCACTGAGTCCAGAGTACGTGGAGCGAATGGAGAGGAGAAAATGGCTGAATGAGGACCTCTCCTCATCTACCAAAGACTTTGGCCTTTACTCCGAGTGAGATGGGGAGCCACTGGATGGTTTTGAGCAGATGAATGATATGATTTGACTTGTCTTAAAAATAATCATTCTGTGGGCCGGCCAAGTGGCGTGTTGGTTAAGAGCTGGCTTGGGACGCCAGCTCTGTGCAGCAGGACCCCGGTTCGGATCCCACATGAGGGCCAGTGACACTGCCCT